AAAAAAGCAACCCCTTTGGGTCTCCTCCCACTGTGGGAGCTTTTAGTGAAACCTAAATTAGGCAGTAGCTCACACCTGTAATCCCAGCTCTTTGAGAGGCCAAAGTAGGAAGATCACCTGAGCCGAGGAATTCAGGACCAAACTTAGGCAACAGCAAGATCCTACCGCTTTTTTATAAAAAAAAAGTATAACCTCTAGTGAATTATAAGGTGAACCACCTTAAAACCTTAATATATGAGGGGAACCCAAAAAAACCCAGAATCATCTTTTGAAGGGGAGATCCCTTGTACTACAGGCTTTCCTTGCTAGGTAAGTGTTCTAGAAACCCATCCGCATCAGTGTACCAGCTAGCATTGCTGTGAGAGGATGAATTCAGCTTCAGTGAATTTGGGAGATTATTTCAACACATTTATCCATTTCATGATGGATGATTTATGAGTGCACCTGCTCATGCAGCACTGAATGTACAGCAGTTTTTGACCAAAAACGGCATGACCCCTGTACCCTACCCTCCCTATCCACCCAATCTCACCCCGAGTGACTTTTTATTTTTATTTTTTTTGCTTCCCCAAATGAAAAAAGTCCTCAAAGGGAAACATTTTGCCAAAGTGGAAGAGGTAAAACAAAAAACAACAGCATTAGTACTAAAAGGCATCAAAATTAATGAGTTCAAATACTCATGTTGAGCCAGGCACGATGGCTCATGCCTGTAATCCCAGCAATTTGAGAGATGGAGGCCAGAGGATTACCTGAGCTCAAGGGTTCGAGATCAGCCTGAGCAACATGGCAAGATCTCGTCTCTACAATAAATAAAAATAAATAAATAAATAAACCATCTGGGCATGGTGGCACATGCCTGTGGTTCCAGCTACTTGGGAGGCTGAGGTAGAAGGATCACCTGATCGCAGCATGTCGAGGCTACAAGGGCCGTGAGTGTGACAATGCACGCTATTCTGGACTCCTAGCCAAAAAAAACAAAAAACCTGGAGGCTTAATCACACTCAGGTTTTCTTCTTTTGCCATGACGATATCATAGGTGATGTTTCCCATAGACATGTAATAATTGGTGTCTCCCTTCTTGACATAGGTTTTTTCTTTTCTAGTTGGAATCTCACTCTGTCACCCAGGTTGGGGTGCAGTGACATCCTGAGATTCTGAGTAGCTAGAACTACAGGCATGTGCCACCAGACCCAGCTAATTTTTAATTTTTTTGTAGAGACAAGTTTCACTACGTTGCCCAGGCTAGTCATGACCTCCTGGGCTCAAGCAGTCCGCCTGCCTCAGCTTTCCAAAAGGCTGGGAATACAGGTATGAGCCACAGTACCAGACATGCTGCTTCTTAATACAATATATTTAATTAGCTGCCTTTTGAAGAGCAATATGGCAATATGTATCAGAGTCCCAAACAAAAATTCTACCTTGACCCAGTGTATTCTACCTCTTAGCAATCTATTTTAATAAGGAAAAACTGTCTGGGTGAAGTGGCTCAGACCCATAATCCCAGCACTTTGGGAGATCGTTGCAAGAGGATTACTTGAGGCCAGGAGTTTGAGACCAGCTTGGTATGGCACATACCTCTAATCTCAGCTACTCAGGAGGCTGAGGTGGAGGTAGTTTTAGCCTGGTAGTCCAAGGCTACCGTGAGTTACGATCACCCCACTGCCCTGCAGACTGAGCAATAGAGCAAGACCCTGTGTTTCAAAAAAACAAACAAAAAAAACAAGCCCCCACCCCAAAAAAAGATAAGGGAAAACTAAGCAAAATTTACCACAATTTATTTATTTAAAAAACTGAAGCCGGGCTCGGTGGCTCAGCCTGTAATCCCGCACCTTTGGGAGGCTGAGGTGAGTGGATTGCCTGAGCCCGCGGGTTCGAGATCCGCCTGGGCAGCGAGACCTCATCTCTACAATAAATCAAAAAAACCAG